AGGCTAAAGAGGGGCTGTGGGGGGCTGAGAAGCAGAAGCAGTACATGGGAACAATCTTCCAAGAAGCCTGGGCTGTGGGAGATCCAGGACAGTGGCACTGTCATAGAACACCTTCTACAGAATGGGGAGACCCCTGTTTACATAATAAACTCTTAGGGTGTACTTGCTGAGTACCAGGCACTGCACTGAGCTTCTTACAAGCAATAACTCACTTACTCTTGTGATGGTTCATTGCATGTGTCCACTGGCCTAGGCCACAGACCTTATATTCACTGCTGTGAAGGTGTTTTCTAGACGAGATTAACATTCAATCAGTGGACTTTAAATAAACCCGGTTGCTCTCCATAATGTGGGTGGGCTTCATTTAATTAGTCCAAGACTTTAAGAAAAAGACTGAAGTCCCACATGGAAGAGAAATTTCTGCCAGCAGACTACCTTTGGACTCGATCACCTCTTCTCTGGATCTCCAGCCTGCCAGCCTACCCTGCAGGTTTGCACTTGCCAGCCTCCACAATCGTGTGGGCCAATTCCTTAAATTCTCTCTCCCTAGGTATATGTATACACACACACACACACACACACACACGTGTAATATTATGTACTCATTAAAAGTGACAATGCTGAATAATAATTAATGCTATAGAAAGACGTTCATGCTATACTAATGATTTTTAAAAGCAAATTATAGAACAGTACCTAGCATACAATCCCATTTCTATTAAATATGCTTTGTGAAAGGCAACCTCTAAGATGACTTCCATTTCTGGCATTGTGCTTTCAAATTTTTACTGTATTTTTTATTTTCTCTTGGCTCACTAGTTCAGAGCAAAGCAAGCTACAATGCTGTATGCAGCTCTGCAGAGAGGCCCTTGTGGAAAAGACTTAAAACCTCTGGCCAGAAAGCAATAAAGGGCATTCAAATTGGAAAGGAGGAAGTCAAACTATCTCTGTTTGCAGGTAACATGATACTGTACATAAAAAAAACCCTAAAGACTACACCAAAAAATTACTGGAACTAATAAATGAATTCAGTAAAGTGGCAGGATACAAAATCGAGACATAAAAATCAATAGCCTTCTCATATGCCAACAACAAAATAGCCAAAGAAGAAATCAAGAAAGTAATCCCATTCACAATAGCTAACAAAAAAATGAAATACCTAGGAGTAAATTTAATGATGGAGGTGAAAGACCTCTGTAATAAAAACTATAAAACATAGGTGAAAGAAACTGAAGAGGACACAAATATATGTAAAGATATCCCATGTCCATGGGTTGGAAGAATTAATATCATCAAAATGTTCATATCACCCAAAGCAATCTATACATTCAACATAATCCCTATCAAAATTACAATGATGTTCTTTACAGAAATAGAAAAAAACAATCTTAAAATCCATATGGAACCACAAAAGACTCCATATAGCAAAAGCAATCCTGAACAAAAAGAACAAAGTTGGAGACATCATACTTCCTGACTTCAAAATATACTATAAAGCTACAGTTACCAAAACAGCATGGTACTGGCATAAGAACAGACAAATAGACCAGTGGAATAGAATAGAGAGCCTGGAATAAACTCATGTGCTTACAGCCAACTGATTTTCCAAAAAGGTGCCAAAAATATACAATAGGGAAAGGATGGCCCCTTCAACAATGGTGGTGGGAAGACTGGATATCCATATGGTAAAGACTGAAAAAAGACCCCTATCTCTCACCATACACAAAAATCAAAGTGGATGAAAGACCTAAATTTAAGACCCAAAACTATGGAACCACTAGAAGAAAACATAGGGGGAAATGCTAAGCAAAATGGGAGTGGGCAGTGCTTTTAAGAAGAGACTACAAAGGTACAGGTAACTAAAGCAAAAATACACAAATGGGACTACATCAAACTAAAAAGTCTCTGCACAGCAAGGGATACTATCAACAAAGTGAAAAGACAATCTACAGAACGGGAATTGACATGAGCCTGGGAGCTGCAGCCCCATAGGGTCTCTGGGACAGGAACCCCCAGTACTACACTGAGATTCTGCAGGGGAGCTTTGTTGGGATGCTGCCCCCACAGCCAGTGAAATGGCATCCATGCTGGATTTGAAATCAAAGGACGAGAAAGCTGCTGAGTGGGACAAGAGGATCGAGGCTCTTCTGTGGCAGAATGGGGCCCTCATCTGGTACTGCCAGCAGATTGAGGATGCTAACAAAGCTGAACTTGAGGGAGTGGCAGTGACAGCTCCCCAGAAGGGCTGCTTGGTGGAGAAGGAGAACGTGGCAGTTGAGATGGAGAAGAGCCCGGGTCCCTTCCCGAGGTCTCCTGTGACCCCTCAGCCCCCAAGGGCCAGCAGGGAGTCCGTGCCAGTGCAGGCTGGGCATCCTAAGGCTGGGAGCACAGTACTGGGGAATAGCCTGAGGAGGATTTGGGGACCATGGCTGGAGGGGCTGTGGCCGGGGAACCCTCATCTCTCTGGAGCTGGAGATGCCTCAACCCCCTCTGGCAAAACTGAGGAGCAGGTGGGGTAGTGCAGGCAGAATGTGGAGATGACGAAGGAGGACATGGAGAAGACCACAGCGGGCAGCACCATCCCTGACCCTGCCAGCGCCCCAGGATGTGCCTGCAGGAGAGGGTGCTGGAGCCCAGCCGTGCAGAACTTCCTGGATGAGCCCCAGCGTGGTAGTGGGCCCTGGGGGAACCCGAGCAGACTGCAGGGAGGGCAGCCACTGGCATGGGTGCCACTGGGGGGCCCAATTTTTAGAGGGTGGGCTATGACCTCAAGCACGGGTGGCAGGTTCAAGGACAGCCCAAGCCCTGACCACGAACCATCCCACCACTATGATGACCAGGCCTGGGCCTGGTCCCCCAAACCCCCCAACTTTTGGGGAGTTCCTGTCTCAGCACAAGGCTGAGGGACAGCAGCCCGTCTAGCCAAGGCAGCCCCCCGTGACTAAGGTGACCATGATGACTCCTGGGAGACAAAAGAGGCAGTGTCCCCATCCCCAGAGGCCCCACAGCCCACCTTCCCCAGGATACACCAGCAGCTACCTGAGACCCCTGGTGGCTGGGGAGGGCAGTCCATGCCCCCTCTGTACTGTCATGGCCCTGACCCTGGAATGCCCGCTCCCAGAACCTGCCCTGGCTGTTCAGAGAACCCTCCTCAGTAAAGAATTTGCATCCTCAGGCTGACCTCATGGCTCACTCGGGAGAGTGTGGCGCTGGGAGCACAGCAGCGCCAGGAGCACCGAGGCTGCAGGTTCAGATCCTATATAGGGATGGCCGGTGCGCTCACTGGCTGAGTGCGGTGCGGGTGACACAAGCCAAGGGTTGCGATCCCCTTACCGGTCACAAAAAAAAAAAAAGAATTTGCATCCTTAAAAAAACCCCTACATAATGGGGGAAAGAGCCAACTACACATCAAGGGCTAATATCCAGAATATATGAGGAACTTAAACGACTGTAGCAAAAATACAAACAACCCAATTAAGAGATGGGCAAAGGACCTGAACAAACATTTCTCAAAAGGAGACATACAAATGGCCAACAGGCACATGAAAAAATGCTCAACATCACTAATCATCAGGGAAATGCTGGGGAGGATGTAGAGAAAAAGGAACCCTCCTACACTGCTTGTGGGAGTGTAAATTGGTGCCACTGCTGTGGAAAACAGTATGGAGGTTCCTCAGAGAAGTAAAAACAGATATAACTTAAACCCAGCTATCCCTCTACTTGGTATGTACCCAACGGAAATGAAATCAATATGTCAAAAAGACACCTGCACTCCCATGTTCATTGCAGCACTATTGACAATAGCCAAGAGATGAAATCAACCTAAAATGTCCATCAATGGACAAATGGATAAAAAACTGTGGTATACATACACAATGGAACACTACTCAGCTATTTAAAAAAATGATATTGTATCATTTGCAGCAACACGGATGGAACCAGAAACCATCATGTTAAATGAAGTAAATCAGGCACAGAAAGACAAATACTGTATGACATCATTCATATGTGGAATCTTAAATAAAAAGTGGTTCTCACAGAAGTAGGAAGTAGAATAATGGTTGGGTGGGGGGAGGAAACATGGGTACAAAACTGCTATCTACAGTAAGTGAATCATTATGCACTATATGTATGTACTGAAACAACATACTGTACCCCACATATATGTACAAGTAAATGTTAAAATTAGAAACAAATAAATAAAACCCCTGGCCAATAGCTGGCAAGGAACTGAGGCCTTCCCACACCATGTGAATGAGTCTGGAAGCATGCTTCTAGCCGAGTTGAGCCTTGCTTGAGATCACCAGAGCCTTGGCTGACAGCCTGGCTGCAGCCTTGCCAGAGACCCTGAACCCAAACCCAGCTCAGCTGTGCCTGGATTCCTGCCCCTTAGAAACTGCGAGACCACAGATGTTCACTGTTGTTTTAAGCTGCTAAATTTCAGGGCAATTTGTTATGCAGCAATTGATAGCTAATACATACATGCATGTGAAATGGCTGGAAGACTAGAACTCCAAATATATTAGTGGTTTCCTCTATGTGTAAGATTATGGGTAGTTTTCATTTTCTTTGTTTTGTACAGCATTGGCAAATGTTTTTCCTTTTTCAGAAAACACGAAATGAAAACCACATGACCAAGAGGGATCATATGACTTTCTGAAGATAAAAGGATAAAGATAAGGAGAGCCAATTTTAGCTCTAATAAATATTTAAAATTTTTTTGAGTAAATAGCTCTTTAAATATTTTTTTGAGTAAATTAGCTTAAATGTCCCAAACCCAAACAAAAACCAAAAACAAACAAACAAAAAAAATAAACTCAAAAAGAGTGCCTGAAGGCACAGCGAGGTAAGTTTGACCCACTAGAAACCACACAACACACCATGAGCAGCAGCATTCACTAACCTTGGGGAAAGGAGACTTCCGCAGGCTTCTTAAAAGGAAAATCAAACAGAAATGAAGTCATCTGTTAGCCGATTGTCGGCGCAGAACTCTTGCTTACCCAGCTTCTGGTCAAACCGCCACGCTGCGACATAGGCATTGTGCCTCAAACTGCTCTGTGTGGCCAGGGGCACAGTAACATAGATGGGACCATCGACCAGCACCGGTGTTCCATTACTACTGAGCAAGTGGACGCTGACGGCTGTGATCGGGGTCAGGTCATATCTGGTGCCATTTCCTAGAAGGAAGAGGCATTCTCCATCATATGCATGCACATTAGCTCCATGGGGTAGTGACAACCATTTGCAAACAATAGTCACCAACTATCATTTGCTGAGGACCATACCTCCCATATGGCTGGGACTGTATTAAGCATCCTACATGCATAATCCTTACCGCAACCTTGGAAGGTAGGTAAAATCCCCATCTTACACATAAAGCAACAGGCTCAGAGCAGGTAGTAACAATGGTAGCTGGCTTAAGGGGATCCAGCTCAGGATTGCCAATCTAACTATTGTACAAATCACTGAAAATAACTTCTACACAATGTGAATCTTGCACACATGTTAATTACTCGGCAGATTCAAATAATGAAACCAAATGTTTTAGATTACAGATTGTTTTTTATTAAATAATGAATTTCTTCAAGAATTGCTTCAAAGTATTAACTTACTTCTGCTAAAAAATACATTACTGAAACTTGGACTTGAAATATTTATTAGTTATTTTAGTCGCTATTGTTATTTTGGTCTGTTTAAAAGGAATTTAATATACTGTACCAATTATTCTCCATTAGAGGACTTTTGTCCAAGCCATCGTTTTAATGACTGTGTACTTTACAGATAGAGAATGCTTATGAGAACGATATTTGTACACTTAAGCAATCCATTTAAGATTTTCTCGAGTGAAATATATCATACAAAATGCATCCTGTCATAATTTTATATCTTCCTTGAACAGAATAACAAAAACACAGTGATAAAAAATTTATAAGCTACATTAGAATACAATCTATAGGTTTTCTTATTCAGCTACTTCGAAACTTACCTGATAACAAACCTCCAACTTGGACTAAACTTAAAGGTTTAAAGCAAATCTAGTGAATTTTAGAGTTTCGACAATGAGTTACAGCTAAATCTTTTTTCTTAATTTTGTAAAGTTTATTGGGAACCAAATGTGATATTGCTAAATCCTTCATAGAGCAATTTCTATACAGCTAACAATAGCACTGCCTTTTATAACTTATATCCCCCTCTGTTTTTCAATAAACAGGCATGGGAATGGAGATTTCTTCGAAAGGTCTAAGTTGGAATCATAAATTCAAGTTCAGAAATCTTTTAGTCTGGTTATTTTATTTTAGGGTAAAGAAAATAAAAACCCAGAATTTACCATGTTTTGGGTCAAAATATCTTGTGAATGGAGACATAAATGTGCCAGTTGCTTAAAGGTGTTTTAGTAGCAAAAGCCAGATCTACAAGGTACCACTGTAGGTCCTGTTCAATTCTCTCAACCAGATACAACTTAAAACTACAGAGACATTAAGTAACTTCCTAGACTTTGTATAAACAACTTAGAGATAATGTTTTCCGTTAGGAACTGCTGTTTTCTTTCATCAAACTTTGATGTCTGATCACGGAGTCAACAGGTAGGTTAGTGTGGAAAAGCACGAGAAATGACATCCCCTTCCCCTCTCTCATCACCTTTTGATTCTCCCTCCTCCAATCCTGCATATTCCTGGCCCAGGAAGATGGGGGGTGGGGGTGGGGGGAGGTGG